GTCTCTCTCTGTCCCAAAAATAAATAAACGTTGAAAAAAAAAATTTTTTTTTAAATAAATAAATAAATAAATAAATAAAACCACCTCATCTTCACAAAAGCCCCTCCTGCCAAGAACTGTATCCACCTCTAGACAAAACCTACTATTGACAATTCTGAGAAACCGACTCAGTTCTTGGAAGCTCTTGGAATCAAAGAGCTGAAGTTTGGGACTTGCCTGCTTCCTCAGAACCTGGCACATAAATGTGTTACTTTCCTAAGTCCACTCTCAGAGCAAAGTCTCTCCTCTCCTCGACTCCAAGTAGTCAAAAGAAAGCCATCAACCTCTTCCTCTTGGCCCACTGGGAAATCAAGTTGTCACAGAAGAACGAACATGGATTTCATTTCCATATGAACTCGGTTCACACCCAGCTCTCCAGCTGTGGGACTTGGTGTAAGCAAGTTCATTGACATTCATGAGCCTCAGTTTCCCGCTCTGTAAAATGGAACTCTGCAGCGACGGGAGGCGTGCTGAGATAATGCGCGTAAAGAGCCTGGCATACCGAGGGCCCTCAACAAATGTTAGCCACTTATATTTATTGTGATGATGGTAGGTATTCCCCTGGCACTTACCTGCCTGTTCCCATCCCTCGGGCCGGACTGCAGGGTCCAGGCAGAGATGACGTTGAAGGCCTTGACCACCGTGCAGGTGGGGAAGAGGGAAGCCAGGTACTCGGCATTGGACTCGTGGTGCCGAAGGTGCTCCTGCTCTGTGGGGTTGCTCACATCCACGAGGATCTTGCCAGCCAGCTGGTCACTGAGACTGCACAGTGAGGAGTAGTGCTCCCGGAACATGGCCACAAAGATGACATCAGGGGACTCCACTGCATCCGCCTGGAAAGTCACTTGTGCGGCCGAGGGGAACAGCCCGGCCGTGCGTTTGGGGTTGCGGCTTCCCACCACCACGCTGAAGCCGGAGCTCACCAGGCGTGCGGCCAGGGAGCGGGCAAAGTCTCCGCTGCCCAGGATCCCCACCTTGGGGGCCTCACTGGGGACCTCAGCAAGGCTCCCATCACTGTCCAGCAGGTGGCGGCTGATCAGCGGCTTGTCCATCTCTCCTGACATCTTGGTGGCTGGAAAGAAAAACAGAACTTGATCAGCAGAGAGCTCCGATGACCGTCTTTCGTAGCACCTTCCTCTTTCTTGTCCACTGTAACCACATGGTGGTCAAAGAATCCCCAACAGCCCTTCAGGAGTGTTAACTTGTGCCAGCACAGGGGGACAAGCTGGGTGAGAACTAGCGCCTTCCCAGGGAGGGCCCAAACTCAGGAAGAAAGGGGAGGACCTCTGCCCTCCACCCTTTGGCCTTCATCCTGAACTGTTTCCTTGGGACAAATCTGCAAGCGTGCTGCGAGAGAAGCATATAGAATTTCCATGAGGGGTGCCACACAGTGCCATCCTTCTTTTCAAAGGAGGATGTGACGATTACCGCCCAGAAGGGACCCCCATCTCACCACCGCTGGGTGTTCTCTGATTACCAGGAAGGGCGACGTGTTCTTGTGCCTGTTTACATTTTGCATTCTGGGAAGGCGCCTCTGTGCTCTTCCTTGAGTAGAGGATGAGCAGCTTGAAGGCAGGGGGACCTCATCTTATTTGACTTTGGGTCTCCCCATTGGTCACACGGCCTAGTACAGAGATGGTGCTCAATATTTGCTGAATGAATGAGTGAACACTGAAATCCTTCTCTCAGGGGGTAGAACTGGAGTGAGACATGACAGTGAGTGGGGCCCTGAGATCTCCTTTACTAAGCCTGACATATGAGAGAACATGGGGGAAAACCCGGACTTGGGCCAGAAGCTTCTAGTAAACTTGGATAAGGGAACATTCTGCTGTCATTGTCACCAACTTTTTTTTTTTTTTTTTACGTTTATTTATTGTGAGAGAAAGCATGAGTGTGCGAGCAGGGGAGGGGCAGAGAGAGACAGCAGAGGGAATTCCAAGCGGGCTCCGTGGTGTCAGCGTGGAGCCCAATGCGGGGCTTGATCCCAAGAACCATGAGATGGTGACCCGAGCCAAAATTAAGAGTCAGATGCTTACCTGACTGAGCCACCTAGCTTCCCCTGTCACCGACTTCTAACTGAAATTTGCAATTTCCCTCAAGTATGAATGTTCATAGCAAAACACAATAGTATTAGCAGGACCTGTGAGGTTGTCACCAGTACTGGCCGGTGTCATATCCCAAGTTTAATTGTGAAAGAGTTCTTCAAATACTATTTAAGCTTTTCACTAACTTAAAATCATAGTACCTATGAGCTCCTAAACATATAAAGCAAATATTAACAGATGTGAAAGGAGAAATAGACGGCAATACAATAACGATAGGGGACTGCGCTATCCCGCTTTCAACAATGGATGCAGACAGAAAATGAGTACGGAAACTGGACTTGAACTATACTTCAGACCAAATAAACCCAACAGACCACACAGAGCGTCCCATCCAACAGCAACAGAATACAAGTTTTCTTCACGTATCCACAGAATATCCTCCAGGATGGATCATATGTTAAGTCATAAAACAAGTCCTACAAATTTAAGAAGATTTAAATCATATAAAGCATCTTTTCTGTATGTTTTTAATGTTTACTTATTTTTGAGAGAGACAGAGAGAGAGCGGGGAGGGGCACAGAGAGACAGAAAGAGACACGGAATCCCAAGCATGCTCCAGGCTCCAAGCTGTCAGCACAGAGCTGGACGCGGGGCTCGAACCCGTGAACCGTGAGATCGTGACCTGAGCCGAAGGCAGACGCTCAACCGACGGAGCCACCCGGGAGCCCCTGTTTCTTTTCTGCCCACAATGGCATGTAACTGGAAGACTGGAAGATTCACAAATAAGTGGAAACGAAGCAATGCACTCCTGAACAACCGATGAGAAGAAATCAAAAGGGAAATCCAAAAAAATCTTGAAACAGATTAAAATGGAAGCTCAGCACACCCAACTTACGGGATGCAGCGAAAGCAGCTCTAAGAGGGATGTTTGTAGCTTGATGCCACCTTATGAAAAAAGAAAGTTCTCAAACAACCTACCTTTACACCTCAAAGAACTGGAAAAAGAGTAAGAAAGTCCAAAGTTCTAGCAGGGAGAAGTAAATAATAAAATTCAGAGTAGAAACAAGTAAAATAGAGGCTAGAAAAAGAATAGAAAAGATCAACAAAACTAAGACCTGTTTTTTTTTTTTTTTTTTCCAAAAGACAAACAAATTTTAGCTACACTAAGAAAAAATAAGAGGGGCGCCTGGGTGGCTCAGTCGGGTGAGTGTCCGACTTCGGCTCAGGTCATGGGTGATCTTGAGGTTCCCGAGTTCGAGCCCCGCGTCGGGCTCTGTGCTGACGGCTCAGAGCCTGAAGCCTGCTTCGGATCCTGTGTCTCCCTCTCTCTCTGCCCCTCTCCCACCTGCACTCTGTCTCTCTCTCAAAAAATAAAAATAAAAATAAAGAAAAAGAAAAAAGACGACTCCAAATAAAAAAATGAAAGGTACATTGCAACCGATACCACAGAAATACCAAAGATCATAAGAGACCATATTATGAACAATTATATGACAACAAATCGGACAACCCAAAGGAAATGAATACATCCCTAAAAACTTACAATTCACCAAGACTGAATCATGAAGGAATAGAAAGTCTGAACAAGCCAATAATGAGTAAGGTGACTGAATCAGTGAAAAAACAAAACAAAACAAAACAAAAAATCACCCAATAAAGAAAAGCCCAGGACTGGCTGGCTTCCCTGGTGAATTCCACCAAGGATTTCACGATTTAATGCTTACCCTTCTCCAACTATTCTAGGTTCATTTTATGAGGCTTGTGTTACCCTGGTACCAAAGCCAGGTAAGCACACTATAAGAAAAGAAAATTACAGGCTGATATCCTTGATGAACACAGACGAAAAAATCCTCGACAAACTACTACCCAACTAAATTTAACAGCACATTAAGATGATCCTATACTTGGGACGCCTGGGTGGCTCCGTCGGTTAAGCGTCTGACTTCGGCTCAGGTCATGATCTCACGGTCCGTGGGTTCGAGCCCCGCGTCGGGCTCTGTGCTGACAGCTCAGAGCCTGGAGCCTGTTTCAGATTCTGTGTCTCCCTCTCTCTCTGCCTCTCCCCCGTTCATGCTCTGTCTCTCTCTGTCTCAAAAATAAATAAACATTAAAAAAAAAAAAGATGATCCTATACCACCATCGAATGAGATTCATTCCTGGGACGCAAAGATAGTTCAACATGCACAAACCAATAAATAAAATGTGATACCCATTAACAGAATGAAGGATAAAAACCATGTGGTCATATCAATAGATGCGAAAAAAAGCATTTGACAAAAGTAAACATCCTTTTATGATAAAAACTCTCAAAAATATTGGTATTGAAGGAGTATTCCTCCACATAATAAAAATTATATATGACAACCCCATACCCAACATCATACTCAATAGTGAGAAGCTGAAGGCTTTTCCTCTAAGATCAGGAACAGGAAGGATGCCCCTCTTGCCACTTCTATTTAACATAGTACGAGATATCTTACCCAGAGAAGTTAGGCAAGAAAAAGACAGAAAAGGCATCCATATTGGAAAGGAAGAAGTAAAATTTGTCTCTGTTTGCAGATCACATGATCCTACATATAGAAAACTCTAAAGACTCCATAAAAAAATCCTGTTAAAACTAAGAAACTAATTCTGTAAAGCTGCTGGATACAAAACCAACTTACAAAAATCAGTTGTGTTTCTTTTATTAGTTTATTTATTTATTTTGAGAGGGAGACAAGTGGGGAGGGCCAGAGAGAGAGGGAGAGAGAATCCCAAGCAGACTCCATGCTGTCAGCACAAAGCTGGAAGCACAGCTCGATCTCACCAATGGTGAGATCATGACCTGGGCTGAAATTGAGTCAGGCACTTAACCGACTGAGCCACCAGGCGCCCAAGTTATGTTTCTAAGTGCTAACAATGAGCTAGCTGAAAAAGAAATTAGGGAAACAATTCCATTTACAATACCATCGAAAAGAATAAAATACTTCGGAATAAATTTTATCAAAAGGTGAAAGATCTGTATATAGAAAACTCTGAAACAAGGACGAAAGAAATTCAAGACACAAATAAACAGAAAGATAGCCTATGTTCATGGATTGAAAGAATTAATGTTGTTAAAATGTCCATAGTACCCAAAGTGATCCATAGACTTAAAGCAATCACTATCAAAATTCCAATGGCATTTTTCACAGATATATGAAAAACAATCCTAAGATTTGTATGGAACTGCCGAAGACCCCAACAGCTAAAGCAACCTTGAGCAAGAAGGACAAAGCTGGAGGCATCACACTTCCTGACTTCAAATTACATTACAAAGCTATAGCAATCAAAACAGTGTAATACTGGCATAAAAAGACACATAGATCAATGGAATGAAATAGAGTCCAGAAATAAACCCATGCATATAAGGTCAACTAATCTTCAACCGAGGTGCCAAGAATACTCAATGGGGAAAGGACAGTCTCTTCAATAAATGGTGCTAGGAAAACTGGATATACGCATGCAAAAGAATGAAACTAGACCCTTACCTCACACCATACACAGAAACCAACCTAAAATGGATTAAGGACTTACCCAAAAAGGATGTAAAACCTGAACTGTATAACTTCTAGAAGGAAACATGGGAAAAGGCTCCTTGACATATGTCTTGGCAATGATTTTATTTTGTTTTGGTTTTTGACTTAATACCAAAGGCACAGGCAACAAAAGACAAATAAGTGGGATGACATCAAACTAAAAAGCCTTTGCACAGCAAAGGAAACAAAATGAAAAGGCAACCTATGGAATAGGATAAAATATTTCTAAACCATCTATCCAACATAGGAGTAATTTCCAAAATATGTAAGAACTGATACGACTCAGTAGTAAACAAAACAGGGGCTCCTGGGTGCCCCAGTTGGTTAAGCATCTGACTTTGGCTCAGGTCATGACCTTACGGTTCGAGCCCCCCATTGGGCTCTGTGCTGACTGCTTAGAGCCTGAAGCCTGCTTGGGATTCTGTGTCTCCCCCTCTCGCTCCTCCTCTGCTTGCACTCTCTCTCTCTTT